CATGACTGAAAAGACCTATGTGCCCTTACTTAAGTTAAGAGCACATGTTTCAACACAACATTACAAATCAGCAACATCAATCAAGGTATAAAGACAGAAATACCCCTACGCTAACAATGATCAAAAAGGAAGGGGGCGAGAAGATTATATATTTACATTACAGAGAAATAGAAAATAGAAAAAAAAAAGCTTGTGATGAAGGAACTAGTCACACTCAAAGGCAAGTAATTGTATGGTATCACAAAACACAAAAATGGTAATTAATAAAAAGAGTAATGGTGTAGGACCAACTACCCTGATACCAACCTGATGTAGAAAAAAATGAAAAATAATACAAGGATGAGTCGAGGAGGGTGAAGATTAGTTAGAATGGATAGAATGGAAAAGTGAGAGTTCAGTGGGAGAGGAGATCAGCTAATGGGCTGGAAGATTCTGTAGCTAAGCAAGGGGTGTTTAGGGACAACTTATTTTGGGCTAAATTGTAATTTTGTTTTCTTTTGGATGCTGCAGCTCGCGCTTCTTGGAATTTCCATGCAGTATCCACTTATAGTTTCTTCTTACTCCTAATGATATTCCACTTATCACTTATAAAAAAAGAATGGATAGAATAAGGTTTAGGAAAGATTAATATACAAAAGGTAGGGATCTGTTACGTTAGAAAGGTCTTGGGGCTTAACTACAAAAGTTCCATCTTTGTTCCAAAACTATCAAATTTAATTCAAGGAAAAACAGGTCTTGATTAAGTTTTTCCAATCGAATTGTAAGAAACCACCAGGTTTGCTAGGGCCGGGAGTACAACTTACCAAAAAGAATAAAAAAAAAAACAGTATTGTGAAGAAAATACAAGAAACCAGGAAACTAGGGTTCTAGGTCAAAACAGAGGTCTACTCCATATTTACTGTTCTTTTCTTCCATGAATATAGAGGCCCACCTCATGCCCTTTTCTTCCATAATCATGAGAAAAAAAGCTCTACCCCATGTCTTCATCTTTGTCATGAAATTTATGTAAAATATGCATGATCTGTAAAATATGAACTGCCATGTTTAAATTTTAAAACAATTAAAAAGTGTACATGATCTCTCGGTTTAGATTTTAATATATTTTAATTGTATATAACTGGCATTTGTACTGTAGTAATGTGCATTTTGAATTACTCAGTTCTTGTATGCATGTTGTCTTGATTGTCTACAACTCTATAATCTATATAGGTTTCAATAGTTCAGCAATTACCATTCTTAAAATAAATAAAATTGAACTTAACCATACTATATATTGAATATTAGCTATGGCACACAAGTGGTGTGATTGCCAGTTTGCCAATAAAATTTGCTCATATAATGTCTATAGGATGAAAGTTGGTGCAAGGTCACTTTCTTATTTTTGAAAGTGACCCAATATCTTTATGGAGTGTGACCACCATCATCTATTAATCAAGTCAAATTAAACTTTGACAGGTGCAGCATGAGCAATCCAGGAAATTCTAGTATAGGATGAGTATTTTATGACAGCAAAATGGAGTAAATTTTGCAATCTTCTCAAGACTTCCTGTGAGCTCTTAACCACACAGTGCCTCCCTCTTCTATATTCTACTTGTAGTGAAGTTTTCTCAATTTATTTAATTTAGCTTATCATCTAAACTAGACATAATCTGAAAAACTAAAAAGAAAATATGCAGTAAACTTCTGTCCATAACTGAAGATAAGCATACCACATGTTCTACACTCAAGCTAATCCCTAACATTTTAATCTATAGGAGTTCTTGTAATCAGATATAATTGCCTAAAACCATGGTATTGTTTATTGTCAGATCCACCCAAAGGCAAAACATAATATACCACTGAAAAARGAAATTATAAGATGGGCAAAAGAAAAATAGCATTAAGGTAATGTGTTACCAAGAAAATCGAATATAGTAAATAATTCCCAATATGTTCTGCAGGCATGGGACAAAAACACCCATCATTGTCCCCAGTTTAACACCAGCTGGCTGCAGGATGAATCAAAATTCCATTGAATCAGAGCATGGTAAGGCATCTAAAATGCAACAGAAACTCAACATGTATGATGACATTTATCATCAACTCATCATTGTTATTGTTCTTAAGTGTCAAATGTCCAAGCCAAGTAATATTAAAAAAAACAATAAGCATATGAGTGGGTCAAACCTGTCATTGAACATTGTGCCTTAAATACTGTGGATCTGGTGCATCATGTGGGTCCAGCATTTACAATGACTTAAGTTACAACTATATTAAGTCCCAAACGATACACCAAATCCACAGTGTTTGAGGCACCATATGCTTAGCACTGCTTAATCAGAAACAAACAAGTTCAAGGACTGTTCAACAAAAATATAAGGATTTCAAAAGAAAACTAAGAAGTAACCAACAAAGGGAGCAGAGACAGACCAAAAGAATCTCCAAGGGATATAAAGAGTCGTTGATTGATTAAAAAGAAGAGTTGCAATATTGAAGAGAACAAGAGAAATTCTGGGGAAGAAAGCGGAATGATTCGAATAACACTATTCCCTTTTATTACTTTATTTATTTTTTTATTTGTAAGTTGTAACAGTAAAATTACAAATCACCCACATGATACTTTATTGCAATGCAGTATTATACAATATCCCATACTCCCACTATGCCTAACTACATTCCCCATAAGCTGGTGTGTAAACATCACACATGTCCAACTTGCTTAGAACAGTAGATAACTTGAACTTGCTAACAAGTTTAGTATAGTATCTTTAAATGATCTTGAACCTTAACAAATAACAAACATATTTCTTTTGTAATCTCTGTTTCTTGAATAAAATGTCTGTCTACCTATATTTGTTTGGTCTTGTCATGTTGAACTGGATTATGGGCAATATAATTATAGTTTGTTAATAGTGAAAAATAAAGATATTTCATTAATTCAAAACTGATTCCCCCTATTCACCAGTGGATGGATAGAAACAAGAACCGCATGCAACGGACAACTCCTATACATAGATATAATCCAAATGAGTTCTTTACATTGTCCAACCCAGTCTTGGGTTATCTTACCCCATGCCAAATTGCCCCCCATGACTCTTGCTTTAGTCAAAATGTCCATGAAGCTGTTTGCCAATCTTGGAAACCACCTCAACAAGCACTTCAGGTTAGTAGCCAATTCCCTTGTTTCTCTGACCAGAAACATTAGGATCAATGTTTTAAAACGTGGAGGCATGATGCGAGGCATTCCATTACCTGGAGGCATGAGGCATAGTTTAGAATGCAAGAGGCGTAAGTCTCTCAAGCACAAGGAGGCATAAGCCTCTTTCTTTCCTTTTCATTCCCTTCCCTTTCTTTCCCTTTGTTTTTTTTTTTTCTTTCTTAATATCTTTTTGTATGAGGTGTGCATTAGGCACAGGAAGCGTACACCTCTAGAACACCTAGGCATCAATGCCTCTGGCACACGCCTCAGGGTGTTTTGGGGGCACTTAGCTTAGGCGCACCTCCAATGCCTTTTAAAACACTGATTAGGACCCAGGATACCTCTTGATCAGTTGTCAACCACTTAATCACTACTTGACAATCCCCTTCCACTTGTACATCATTATAGCCAGCTGATAAGTTTTACTAAAAGGCTATTACCCAATGTTGATCCCAACCATCAGGGTGGGGGCATTCTATTCTATACACCCTCCAAAGCTTTGTTGCATACATGAAACCCTAGAAGAGTAACATGGTATTAGAGACAATGGAGTAAGGTTTTTTTTGGACAATTCAAGTTGAAGAATTAGAAGCCAAATCTGAGGTTGAAAGAGTCTAGGTCAAACTGCACAGTTCAGGACGTTCGGGAGGACTAGGGTTTAGTTGGAAGCATTTAAACTCTAGTCTAGAGTTAAGGTTCGATAAGAGATATTTTGAGAAGCTTTTTTAACTTTTTTTTTTTTTTTTGGGGGGGGGGGGATTTTGTGTAGTTTTATGGTGTGAAATATTCCTTTTTCAGATTGTTAGAGTTGGCTAGACAGGGTTACNTTTTGTGTAGTTTTATGGTGTGAAATATTCCTTTTTCAGATTGTTAGAGTTGGCTAGACAGGGTTACTTTAGTCTTTAATCTCTTAATTACTAAGTTGTGTTGTGTCTCTCTTGTCTTACTTTCATGTCCCCACACACAAGTAGGGGCAGAATAGCCTTTGTAATCTATAGAAAAACGTAGAGATGAAGAGCAATAATACACAAGGTAACAAACATGGTAATCTCTTGATGATGGAAAGTTGATTTACCCGATTCCCAGTTGGCAAGGTAAAGATGCAAGGGTGTTATGGGGCGATGGAACAGTGACGAGGAAACAGAGGTTTTGAGCCTGCAACAAGGTGGAGGAAACAGATGGTCATCGAAGCTAAGAGATATCTGCTAGAAGAAAATAAAAATAGGGGAGCAGCAAGCTTAAAGATCAGGGAGAGCCGGAGATCAATCAAGTAACCGTGATATTGTTCTTAGGAGCCATAAGTTGGTTAAAAGGTTTCATGGAAGGAGAAGTTCACTCAGTCAGTAAACAGGGATGGAAAAACACAATAAGGAAAAAACATGTTCCTATGAGGTGGAGCTGAGGAGGAATGCAAAGGGATGGTTTATTGCTTTAACGGAGTTCTTTGGAGGCAATAGAAAACAATTGATTTGTATTCCTGAAGGGTGAAGAAGGGGATGGAAGGAGTTCAACAACAATTTGCAGGAATATTCAATGAGGTTTGAGATGGAGGTACAGATTTCTAATGAAAAACAAAAGGAAATGGAAACCAAGAAGGAGAAAAGCTTGGAAGAAGGTCTGATGACAACAGAACAGGAGAGATTAGAGAAGGAAGAAGAGCTCGAGGCGATACTTAATTTCTCCTTGAATTGTGCAGCTTTGAACTACAGAGTCATATTGAATAACGGGAAGTCTGATTGGGAACAACGATTGGTAGAACAGTAAAGGGAGGTGGTGACCAACTCTCTTGAACTACAGGGGAGTAGGGAGAGGATATAGCTATAGAACTGCAATTTCTAATTAAATTAGCTGAGGAGAAGTCCTTGAAAAGTTGCTGCATTTTCAGCCAATGCAGAATCTTGATGGTAATGCCCTCAACAAGTGCTTCCTTGGATTTTTCTGGCCCTTGGAAAATCCTATTGTTTCTCTCTTCCCAAATCGATCAAAGGACAGCTGCTCTTGTTATTCTCCACWTTAGCCTGCCTCTTTTCTTTGGTTGTCGGAAGAAGCTAAAGTCAAAAAGGTTCAGCACACACGAGGGGGGATTCCACCAGCAACCAAAATGAGAAGAGAACCATCCCACAAGTAAGAAACAAAAGGAGAAGAAATCAAAAGATGAGTCACCGTCTCACCATTTCTTAAGCAAAGGAAATAGACATGTGGGGAAAGGCACCAATCTGGCGTTTTTCTTTGAAGTACATACATAGTATTTGATCTTTTGGAAAACCACTTTCAAGCAAAAAGCCCCAACCTTGGGTGGAACAGGAGAACACCACACTTCTTTAGCAGGAAAGGAGACAGACACAACAGAAGGTTGAATTAGGGCATTCAAAAAAGAGGAGCAAGAAAAGATCCTTGAAGAGGACTATCCAAATTCTACTGTCTGGGCAAGAAAGATCTAAAAACTGAACTCAACATAGTGAACTGTTCATCTGCGCAAGCCAATTCTGAACCCCTCAACCCTCTCTCAAACCCAAGTCCCAGGTCCCCTTAGACACATGGAGTGAGGAAATGGCTTTGAATTTATTTAGGGAAAGAGAATAAATTACCAGGAATCTGTCCTTAAGGGGGGTGTTCCCAAACCAAAGATCCTCCCAAAACAGAATTTTATTACCTTAACACACATCAAGTCTGATGAAAGGCCGAAAGGAAGGCAAGACTCCAGCAATGGCTTTCCAAGGGGAGAAATGAGAAGCCCTAGGGTTGATACCAGCATTCCATCCATTAGTTCCCATCCGGCGAATACTTTCCACCACCAAGTGCCACAAATTGTCCTCCTATAGGGGAAACCTCCACAACCACCTTCCTAACAATGCTACCTTTCTTAATCTAACATTGCCAATGCATAGACCCCCAAATTCCTTTTTACTAGGAACTAGTGAACTACTTCTCACTTCACTAGATGGTCCATTTTTGAGTCTCCCGGTTTCCATAGAAAATTTCTCATGAATTTCTCTATCTTATTCACAACCTTGACCGGTAACTTAAAGTTAGACAAAAAATACACCGAAATGTTGGCCAAAGTGGACTTGATTAAAGTGATTCTACCCCCTAATGTGATATAATTTCTCTTCCACCCTGCTAGCTTCTTGGTGAATCTTTCCAAAACTGGGTACCAAAAGCTTTCTATTCTAGGATTTCCCCCCAGTGGTAGACTTAAATACACCAAAGGCCAACCACTTACCTTGCAACCTAAAGACCTTGAGTGAAAATAAGAAAGAGGAAAGGAGTAAATTAGTAACTTTGGAAGAAAAGAGTGAAAAGCTATTACGTGGGKTAGACCAAACACTTACCTTGCAACCTAAAGACCTTGAGTGAAAGTAAGAAAGAGGCAGGGGTAAATTAGCAACTTTGGAAGAAAAGAGTGAAAAGATTTTAAGTGGAAAGGAACATGTGGCGGGCGTTTTCAGGAAGGAGATTCATGAAAGAAATGAAGAGACAAGGGTGAATTCAGATGGGAGACTTTTATGAGGTGGGCCCCACTGTGAATGGAGTTTGAATAGGCCTTTGGGTCAATAATGCCCTAAAGACGGGGGCTTAGGGGAGGCAACTCTATTCTAACTCACACTCTTTTTGTTTATATAAGCAGTAAGGGTAGTAGTGGAACTTTTCTATGTTTTTAAATTGCTAATGTAAATAGCTGAGTGGGGCGGCAACTCTATTCTAACTCACACTCTTTTTCTAATCTCTCCCCTTTGTTTTTCTCTTCTCTCCATTATCTTCTCTTCTCCTTCTATTCTCTGTTCTTTTTCTTACTAAATCTACACCAGA